ATAATAATAATAATAATAATAATAATAATAATAATAATAATAATAATGGCAACCTTTTCTCCTGGTAATTTTATACTTGCTCCTGACATCTCCAGGACCTGTAACTGGAGTGAAACAATTATTTGCAAGTGCATAACAACAACAATATATTATACTATATTTTAAATTGGTAAAATTTGCATGTAACATTTTATGCATTTAAGGCAATTATGAATTGCATAGATACAAACATTACTGTTGCATTTACTGTTTGGAAGGGAAGATTTGCCTTTTGCCACTAAAGCATAATGTTTGAATGCAAATCTATGTCCAATTTCCAGTTTGAAAAACCTTGGAAAATTATTTTATTAGAATATTGAAGGGGCTGAGTGGATTTATTTCTGCATGAGCTGCAAGTATTTCTGAAATCACACACATGCATACAGACATCATGGTTTCATTTGCAATGATAGAACTCTGCAGAGTTTGTGGACAGCTTGTTTTCCTATTGTCAGGAAGCTTCACCTTTCCTCGGCTTTTAGACTGAGGTTATAAACTGTTCATAATTGATAAAGGGGAAACAAGACTTGCTTCTCTACCACAATTTAGATTTGTTTTTAATACAATCAAACACATGCATACATTCCACTATAAAAAGATTTATTCTAGCTCTTTTGGCTGTAGAACCTTGAAGCCTAGTAATCCAGATCAAAGAAACATAAATTGACAAGACTTGAGTCATTACTTCCTCTTCAGCAGGGAGTCAGTGAATTGCAAAGTGGCACCCTGCTACTTGTCTTACTTTGAGCAATGTCCTCATGGAAGGGAAGGGTTTGCAAATTGTTTTCTTTTTGTGTGGAGGGAGAGAATTTTTGTTGCTTTAAGACTGGCTTGGTTTCTCTTGAGGAGAGTGGAATTTGAAGAAGGCATCGAGTATTTCCTTCTAGCCAAGTTAAAATGCTTATCCAAAGATATTGGCATAAGATTTGCTACATGCATGATACTGCCAAATAGGGCTATTCTCTTTATAATCTGGAGGGCATGTTAAGGACAAGGATTGGTAAATTCTCTTGGCTTAGTTCTTCTTCTCCACCAGGCCTCACCAGCTAACAGGAAAGAATTAGTTTGTCATTCTCAACATGGCATCAACATTGGATGGGGAGGGGGGAGGCAAATTTTGATAGACAGCTAGACCTCTATACCATATGTTCAAAAGAAGCCCAAATCACAGCTGATAGGAGGATTGGACTGTGAACCAACAGAGAAAATTAGCTCCTTGTCTTCATCCATCCCTTCATCCACCATCACTTTCTCATACACACTGCCTGTTCCCCATCACTTTTAGTCAGGTTTTGGTTGGTTCAGTTTTCCAAAATAGGGACTGTTTTCCTGGTAGGTATAGGAGGAGAGCCCAGTTTAAAAGAATTGCACTTTCCATCTGCCCATGGCTCTGGAAAACCATGCCCAGGAACCAGAGGGTTCAGGTATGCCCACACCACCTAAAGTGACCAATAGATGCCAGAATGATCCCAACACTAAAGGAATCCCCAAGGAACCCAATTTAAACTTTTGGTTAAAAAATGCAATTTGCAGGAGTACATTGAGTGAAAACTATATGGAGATAAATCAATTGCAAAGACTTAAATGTTTCAATAAATTCCTAGGAACATGAAAATATGGTTGATAAACTCATTATAGAAATAAAAAGCAAGGAGAAGGAACACAACCACGAACAGAACAAACTTCACAGCAACATGAACAAGCAACGTAAGCATAATAGATAATGTTTACACAGTGTTTGAGAGACACAGAGTGTAAGGCATAGTTTTCATTGAGTGCACTATTAAATTATTTTTCACTAATAAAAGACTGAGAATTATATGTTTCAAGTGTTTTGAAAATGTCTCTTTCCAACTGAAAAAGAGAGTAAGTTTAAAGCTCTACATGTATGCTCTGCACATCTTTAATAACTTATTTTCCATTCTAGCAAATTAAGCAGTTTCAAATGAGTAACACAATTTGTTCGTTCTGCCTTTCAGATACAAATTGTGTTATTAAAAAACCTTACATCAGCTAAAAAATGAACTAACTTTGCTTCTGCTTAAAAACAGTAAAGAAAATATACAAGTGAAAGGGAGGAGGAAGGAAGGATTTCTTCAAGTTTGCAACAAAGTTTATTGCTACCATTTACCCTCAATTCAGACCAAATTAGTCTCTGGGCATCAGCTGGTGGTCCTTCATGGATAGCTGATGAAGAGAGCAAGAATGAAGTGATTTTCTACTCTTGACCCAAAAGCAGCTGTAAAAATAGGAGCTGATATTTCTGTTTGGCAGGGAGGAGACAAGCAACATGGAACAACAGCTTTTGCTTTAGCTAATGTAGGGAGCCAGATTGCCTTCTTCTTAGTAGTATGTTCTTTCTGGGAAGCAAGGTATACAATCTCCCCAGTAGCCCTTGGCCCCCTTGGCAGATGTATGAGGATAGAATGTGCTGCTATCACTTAGTTCTCCAGTTCCTGGACAGCTGCTAGTTGTGGTGACATGTTCTATATGATATGGAGACATGAACAAGATATGAAGAATACTGAAGTATTGGGGCTTGTCCAATGCCTTCAGAAGGACTTTTTTTGCAGAGTGAATACATATTGTTTTCAAAACATTTAATCTAATTTTGTTACAAAAATCTAATTTTGTTACAAAATATTTAATCTAATTTTGTTATAGAAGTATGCTTGACTGCATTGAAAATGAAAACAAAGCATTAGAAATGACACGTAAAACAGAGAAAGGTCAAAAGTAAATTTGATTGACCAAGATTACAAGATCAAGTGTCAATTTATAGCAGGGGTATCAAACTTGCAGGCCATGGACCAGATGCGTCACATGCTGGCCCCGCCCCCTCCCAGTTTAGGAAGAAGAAAAAAATCCCGATATGTCATGTGACGACGCTGTGACGATGCGAATTTGACACCCCTGGTTTATAGTATGCTGAAAAGAATGGGAAAGTGTTTCACTTCTCCCTTATTGCATCAATAGGCTGTTGATCATCAGCCTTGTTTAACATAATAAATTCCCTGTTAAAGAAGGATGAATGGAAGAATCCCCAGTGACCACTGTTGATCATTTTACTCAACATTTTGTTGACTAAGTCACCCAAATTTATCAACCTTGACTTCTCCTGTGCAGAGTCTGATTTGATGATTGTGGCAACATTTAGTTCTGTTATTTGAGATTAATTTGGTCTGTTGACTCCAGAGAAGTAAATATGACCCTTGCCATTTGAAGGAATTATTCATGCTCCTCCTAGCCCCCCTTTATTTAATATACTCAGCTTGATATTGTCACCTGCAACATAGCTATGGATGGCACTTATTCCAATGTCAGGATGTTGCTGCAATCTGGATGGTATGAAAGATGCTAAGGTTGAAGCCTAGCAAAATGGAGTTACTGATTGCGCTGTGTAGTTTTCTGTTCATTCCATTCTTGTTTCCTAAGGGGTAGCATCACCCTTGAGGAAATAGGTCACAGTTTGTAGGTCCTTCTGGACTTCTGATTACTGCTAAATGACCAGTGGAAATAATATATAGGAAAAGCTTTGCTCGGCTTCTCCTGGGATGTATCAGCTGCAGCACGTTTTTGAGTGAGAGAACCTCACCACCATGAAGGTAGACTTCTGCAATGTGTTGTAGACAGGGGCAGTGGCCTACTTATTGACTACTGTTAATCACTATTACACTTATTTTGCATTGGTTCCCAATAATTTTCCCAGATGCAATTCCAAGTGCTAATTTCCACTTTCAAAATCCTGTATGGCTTACTACCCATATACTTGGAGGACCAACTATTATTAATAGACTTGATTTGTCCAAAATGTATGAAATTTTCCCAGAAGAAACTAATTTTATGAAGTGAAAGGGGTTGAGGCCAGAATGTATACCATGCTATGTGTTTCATAGCATGGTACCAATGCTATGAAACATCTTCTGCAAAGCCTCTCTTGATGAAGGCCACTTAAGAATTAATGAAGACTGAAACTTCTGAAATTTGTTATGGTGCACAATTTTTCTTAATTATGATGACATTAAAATAATAAAATATATCATTCTATTTGATTAATGCAATTATTTTGCTTCATTATTTTTAATTTTGTATATATGAACAATTGTTTTAGTTGAAAGCAAGATGGAAGAGCATAAGAAACTAATGGAGAAGAAAGATCTAGAGATTTTAGAACTAACTAAACAACTGAAAGCTCAAGAAAAGGAAAAGCAGAATGAGATAATCAAATTACAAATAGAGGTATGCCATCTCTTACACCAGTCAGATATATGCTACATTGATAATTTATTATAAATTGTGGATCAAAACCAAAACATTGCATTTTACAAAATTAAAAGAACTACCTAACAAGGAATCATTTTAAGGAAGAAATTGATATGATTTCAGTATGCATTCATGTTACATTTTTCATATTTCATCATTTTCAGTTCAAATTCATTTTTGCCAGAGCTGTCACAAAGAATATTTTCTCTTACTGACTTGGGATCAGAACATCGGTGAAAATACCTCAGGAATGGTGTCTTCCCAGTCTATTGAGATTTGTGCTTATTTAAGATTGAGACTGACAGTTAAAGTCTTTTTTCATTATTACATACAGTTTCTATGTTTGTAAAAAGTATTTTGCATATTTAGAATTATTAGTCCATAACCTCCTTTATTTGCATGTGCAATATCTTGAATCCTGCACCATAGATTATTGGGTCTCAGATTGTAAATTAACATGATTCAGGATTAACTAGAAGCTGAGTGGACAAGAGTCAGTGAGATGACCAAAACAGTATCCTGCAATGCTGCTTGGGAGGTTTTTAAGCCAGTGACTTCTGAAGAAGTTGACAGAGTTCCCTATAACTTTATTTTGTTTACTTGCATACCTGACCTCTGCCCTTTCTGGCTGGCTGAAGCAATGGTGGGGGAGCAGGGATATGGATCCAAACAATTGCCATGAAGGCCTGTTGAGGGAGGAGTTATGGTCATCTACTGTTTGGAATGAAATATCATTGGGGTACAGATGATATCCAGTTAATGGTAGTAAATAAGTTTAACATTAAGATGGCAAAAGTATGTTTTTGTTTCATGTTTTGATTCATTTTCTTCCCCACCCCCAGAAAGTAGTAAACAAAAAGTTATTGTAGAGTATTTTATGCTCTATACTAAAAGAAATGTATTCATGCCTTTAAGAGTTTGTGCTGATACCATAATTGTTGATAGTTTATTAGAATTACAGCCTTAATATCTTTCTTTGTTCTTATAGTTGCACTTTTCGCTCACCATTTCTACAAAGTCTTCAGTTCTTAGCAGTAAACAAATACATGACCCAGTCAATTAAGCTACCCTTAATCACATTGGTTTTGTATGTATTACACTTGCTTTTCTGCATTAAACTCTGGGAAAATTCTATTTTTACATTATCTTTGTAACAGCTCTCTAAAATTGATAATGCCAGGTGATGATAATGAGCCAATTTTACCCATTTGCGCTTCATGGTCAAATGGGAGCCTCTTTCCCTGTGTTATGTAAATATCCAAGAGTTGCTTGTACATTATTAAAATAGCATTCATTACAGAGAAGCTTTTTCTCTCGTTTACATTTTTATCAACACACTAATTCTTTTTTTAATCAGTGTAATACTAAACTGGAAAGGCTGCAGACCAAAACACTGAAAGTACAGGCTAACCCCACAGGACTCCCTCAAAATATATATAGAAAGGTAAGTGTTTTATTGTTTTCCAGAATGTAAGTTAGTTTAAGGGTTAAGGTGATTTGACTGCAGATATTTTGCCCTACTCTGTCTGTTTATAGTCATATATGTGAGATGGGCAGCTATACAATTAACCAGATAAAATAAAATAAAAAAATTCTGTTTTAACAGTGTCTTATGCTGGGATGAGGGGAAAACATCCCAAAGAGCTACTTCAAAAGAAAGCAAAGTTCTATAAATGCTTTTCTCATTTGAGATCCATTTGCAGTGGGAGGTTGCCTCCAAGTCATCCATTTATTTCATAGTCCTGAAAAAATGTACGAGGCTCCTCCGTAGTTTCACATTTTTAGTATTGATAGTTCTTCACTTAAACATAAACTTTTTCCTAAAGTAAAAAACTGGGAAATACAATTCCTCTCAAATTTCAAGTCCACTATTGTTACCATTAACTAGGGAGCAAATAGAGATTAGTCTTTGGAAGGAAAATATCCAAAATTATTGAAAACCTGTAGTAGTTACTGCCATTAAGGGTCTTGAATTTCTTCAGTACGATTCTGCCCTACAGCTTTAGGCCCTTTGCACAGAGCAAAAGTGTGGCTGTTAGGATGCCATTAAGCATTTATGCAGCAATACAAGTACACACTTCCCATTGATGTGAACTCCAGCCTTAAACGGCTTGCCTCCTTTTCCTCCCTATTACTTACTTACAGCAAGGCTTCAAGGTGCTTTGTCACCATCTCCTTCTCATTCCCAGTTGACTTGAGAGGCACAGCAACTAGCTGGGTGTTACAGTTCTCATCTTCTCCTGCCACAGAAAGCAAACCCGGTAAAGTGTTTTTATTTATTTAGTCAGTTTAGTTTTATTGACCTCACCCCTTTCCTAAGAGGCCTGCAGGGGGCGTGCATAAGTGCACCAACGTGCCTACCGTCCCTGTCCTATTGTTTCTTTTTATTTTTCTCATATGTATCCATTTCATGTATTCATAACTATGTTTATATTTATACCTATTATCTTGTAAGCGATTGACAAATCAAAGAAATAAATAAAAAATAAAATAAAGCAAAATGGAAACAGAGCCACTGACTGGGATGGACCTTTTTGTGCTTACTCATTGGCCACCTGAAGGGAGCAGGTTTAGTGATGAGTGGATTTAGCAGTTGTCCCTCATGTAATAACTATAGAATGTTTTAAATGCCAGGGCTATGGAGAAACGCCCTTTATTGTTTTTATCTGGTAGTGCCACTGATTTGAGTTGTCTTTAAGTATTTAGAGAAGTTTATTGAGTTGGAAAAATATTGAATAATTGAAATGATATAACATGATATTTTGCATTATTCCCTCTATGTAGATACTCACCAGGAATCATGATTCCCATGCTTTACTAAACAGCCTGGTTGTTTTGACTTGTTTTATTTTAGTTATTATCAGATCAATTTGATTTGACTTCTTTGACCATAACTAAATATTGTTCTATAATACAATACAGTATGTTGTATTGTCTGGTCTAGTCCTTAAATATTTTAGAATAATGTTTTTCTTGTTTTATTTGTTGGTCTATGACAGCATAAATATTTCTGATTCCTAGAAACTAAGTCATGAAACACATCAATATCTCTGAAGCATCTAAATTTGTGTATGTGTATACATTTCTGGACATATAAATACACATACACACTTTTTCATATATAGGTATAAGAGGGTATAATTTTTTTATTTATTTGTTTTTGTAGAAGCTCCAGCATCTTCAAGAAGAAAAGAATAAAGAAATTGAATTTCTTCGAAATACTATCAAAGGCTTAGAAGAAAAGCTCGACAAACGTAAACATTGCTATTTTAAACTGCAGCAATTTTGAGAACATGAAACCACAAGTTTTACTTTGGAGAAAGAACTGAATGGGAGACACACATTGAATTCAAAGATATTTTCATTTATTAAAACATAGTTTGTCCACCTGCAAGATCTTCAGTTGTGTGTACTTAACTACTTTCCCTCTTGTAAGCATTCACCATAAAATAATTCAGGTTTTATAGGGGTACGATTTCCCTACCAAACCATCATGAACTATGGCAAACACAATCTAAAGAATCCTCTGTTCAACATTTTCTTCCTCTCTAGAACTTGCAAAATTTCAGTTAATTTCAGAAATTTCAGAAACTATACTATTTTGCTACATAAAGATAGATGTTATATAAACATGCTTCATTACTTACAAAAGATTGTCCAAATCACTGGTTAGCAGAAATAATGATTAAGTGTAGGTCTCACATTTTATTACGAGATACGTATGCTTATCCTTCAATGAAATTACTGTTTCATCCCATCTCATCAGTCTCACTTCATGTTTTTAAAGACTGTTATCCCAAATTCCAAATGAACTATGATAGTGAACAGTCTCAGAAACACATAAATTGATTTTAATAGGTCTTGTTATAGGACTCACACTTTATAACATAAAATCTGATGTTAAAGTAGTGAATTTTGTAGACTTCTTGGTGAAAATATCTGGTTGGAATACTACGCACAGAATTCTATACAATTATCTTAAATGGCTTTAGAGTTTCATAGAAGAACACTTTCACTTGGTCTTAACTTATAATTGTAAAACATAGTTAGCAAATCTTTTCTTATCCTCTCCTGTTCTTATTTGCTCCGTATCAAGCAGAAGCCCCTAGGTCATAGTTTTTGCTCCTGTTTTCATGAATGCAAACAGAATGGTAGAAGAGGAAACCAAAAAGAAAAGCTAACAAACACCACAGACACTTGGAACTGGCATTGAGAAACAACTCCATACCATTATGGGAAAGTTTTGTTCTAACTGTTCAAGGCAAAGTCGGATGACAAGGACTGTATTCTGTATCAGTGAAACCACAGCACATGACTACACCTGAACAAATACAGCCAAAATCCAAGAACTCTTGCTTAACTGGCAGGTGTAAAGGTTGTTTTTCTTTCTTTCCCAATAATTTACATAATGGTATGTGTGTCAGGAAGATTACTGCTGGGATGCATTCCTCTGATTTAATGCCCTTCAGTCACCTATGGCAAGGGTTTCCAACCACTTTGGCAGAGATAGTAGGACCAATTTCAAACGATTATGGAATGCATTCCAAAGTCTTCCATAGGTGTTTAGATTGTTCCTCAAGCTCAGTTGTCCAGCCCTGCTCATTGTCAGGTTTCACCCCTTCTTGCTGCTGGTGACAGTCAAGCAGCTGTTGGCAGACGTCACTGTCAAGACTCAGCCACGTTGTCTGCCAACAGCTGCCCTTGTCACCTTCAGGAAGATGGGAGCTCTCCACGACAATGTCAGGAACTTGTGCTTTGCTGATCTTCAAACAACAGGTGTCGTCAGTGTCAGCATCAGCTACTGGAGATGGGACCTGTCGAGAGCTGCCAGTTTCAGCTTAAATGGCGCTTGCAGATGCCACTCCCCCTTTCTCAGAGCCTGTCCCCTTGCAAAGCTATAGCTGCCGGTAGACGGGCAGCTTTGGCAGGATCCAGGCCCAAGACACTGCTGTTATGCTGATTGTTTACTTCTGGCCGATCCCCTTTGGGATGATGTCCATGATGATGATGATGATGATGGGGATGACGATGTTGATGATGATGAGGGTGATGATGAGGGTGGGGATGCTCAGTGGGAGGCAACCGTGAGGCAGAAGCTGCCACGGTTTGCTTTTCTTCTGAATTCTCTGAGATTCTTTTACATATTTCTTCAATTTCAGGTGTCTGAAAAAGTTCAGGCAACATGGTCAGAATTTCAACTGTTCTCATACAGTAGTATGTCAACACAAAATATAAGCGGAAATCAGTTTACAGAAAATAATGTAACTAAGCTGAGGATTTCAGCCTAAAATGACAATCAATGTGTTCAGCTTCTCTCATGACTATTCTTTTCCAAGTCATTTCTAAAGTGCCTTATGCTTAGATCAGCATGAGACTGACTTTAGAAAATACCCAGCTTGTTATAATTTTCTGACCATACAAAAGCTGGAGAGTCCTAGTTCCATTTGATGTTGGTTATTTACTTAGTTACTTTGCTTCCTTCTCAAGGAATTAAAAACAATGTATAGAATGCTACTTAATGACAAAGATCTGAATTTTACACATCCGTGATGGCGAACCTATGGCATGAGTGCACATGCAGGGGTCATCCATGCATGTGTGGGGGTCACGGGGTTGTGCACACACGTGTGGGGTTGTGGGGGGTTGCATGCCCATGCGTGGGGGGGAAGGCCATGCGTGCTTGCATGGGGGGCAAGGTGCATGTGCGGGGCGCACGCATGCATTGCATTTTGGGGATGCGCGCACACGCAGTTTGGGCACTTGATGCCAAAAAGGTTAGCCATCACTGTTATGCATGAACAGCACTGAGTTTAATGGCAGTTTGGATGTGGAGTGGCAATCCAATCATTTTGCAGTTGGGGAAATGCTCATGGGTCTGCATTTATAGGAATGTATTTTTTTTTCTAAATTAAGCAACTGGAGAGTAAATGCCTCCAGGGTGAAACATGATATCTATACAGATAGATCTATGCAGATATAGAATGAGATCTATACAGATATACAGTACCTTACCTGGCTTCATATCTTATACTAACTGAATTTGAGCTTAGCATGTTATGTGAACTCATGGAATCATAAGGTTGTAAAGGATCTTGGAGGTTTTCTAGTTGAACCCTCTGCCCAAGGTAGGAGTCTTCATACCATCTCAGATAAATGGTTGCCCATTCTTTTCTTGAAAATTTCCAGCAATGGAGCACCCATAATTCCAGGAGACAAACTGTCCCACTGCTTAATAGTTCTGACCATCAGGAATTTCTTCCTAATTTCCAGTTGGATCTCCCTCTGATGAACGTCTATCCGTTGCTTCTTGTCCTACCACCAGATTACTATCAGGAATAAATTGACACCCTCTTTCCTGTGACAGCCCTTCAAGTATTGGAAGACTGCTATCATGTCTCCCCTCAGTCTTCCTTTCGTTGACTCAGCCACTGTGACTTAATAAATCATAATTAAATATATCATTGGTTAGATATCTTTCTCTATTTTTTCTTGAAGAAAGCTAGCAATCTATTTCGTTTTGGAATAAAAAAACACTTGAAAAGTTTGTCATTATTTGCTAAGAAGTAATACAATTCTTAGAAATTACAAAAATGAAATCAGTGGTCATAGGTTCTGTACATTTTTAAATTTTAATTTAATCAGATTAAAATTTAATCAAATTAAATTTTAATTTAATTTCTTTTTCCTAGATACTTCTATACAATAAGGAAAGGAAAAAAATGAATACATACTGTGTATGAGCAATTTCCGCAGGTGTCTTCACAATAGGCGATCTGAATAGCTTTCTCTACATATGGAAAACTCAGGAAAGTATAAGGTAAGCCAAGGTGATAAACAAGACGACCACACCTAGGAAGAAAGTAACCCAGTTCTTAATATCAATGCATCACCATATTTATGAAGAAAAGTTTTACAAAACTAAAAAAAAACAAAAAACTTTTTTGCATCTTAAGTTCCTTGTCTTCTGCTGCGATTCCCAAAATCTATAGTACGCATATTATATGGAAATTGTGGATTAGGGTCACACTAGGACTGTTGTGATAGCATGATTACGGTAATTCTTAATCCTTTGTCTTCTACTATCTGTTTTGAACGAATTGTCTCCTCCTGAACTTTCCTACCCTTCTGAAAGCAAAACAGTGATAAACCCCATTAAGACGGACCTGATAAAACCCATTAACAGGAAGGGCTCATATGAAAGTATGTATTCTCCCTGCAAAAAAATCCCATTAGTTGGAAAAGCAGCAAAACCAGGGGAGGGAAAATGTAAAGTGAAAACTTGTATGCAAGGGCCACAAATACTTGTGAGGAAGTTCATTCATTTAAATAGCATAAACTGATACAGAGAAACCACTTTGGGGAAAAATAAACTATTTGTAATGGTTTGGGGTTTTTGGTGCCTTCGAGACAATGTTGACTCTGGGAACTGCCTGGACAAGTTCTTGCAGGTTTTTTTTAGCAAGTTTTTGGAAGGGCAGTTTGCCATTGCCTCTCACCTAAGGCTAAGAGAAAGTGACTGGCCTAAGGTCACCCAAATTATTAATGCCCAAGATAGGATTAGAACGCATGATCTTCCAGTTTCCAGCCCGATGCTTTAATCACTAAACCAAACACATATCACATTGAAGTAGCCAACCACTCACATTTTCTGTGAACCTACTCAGCCAAATGAATGGAGAAAACCACTTTTATGTACTCTGAATGTATTGTGCAGATAGTGGCGCAGAGCCTCTTATGCAAAACTCTAGGATGCCATCTGATCCAAATAAGCCTCATGTGCTTTCAAAATGTGAAGTACCTGTCGTAAATCAGGAAATCATCTTTTTTGCCTTTTAAAGTAGCCCAGACATCAGGTTGTGTTGCATTTTGTTGGTATACAGGAATGTCTTCTGAAACCTTTTCTCTTAGAAGTTGGTGCTTCAGCTGGGATTGGTGTCCTTGGTGATTGACCACAATGAAGGTGATATTGACCAGTCCACTACTTCCCAGCTTCAGTTGCAGGTCTTCAAGTCTAATAAGTAAATAACATTTTATGCATTCATTTTTTTCCCTTTAGAAAAGCAGAATTTGCTTGGGGGTGGACAGAGGTGGTATTCAGCAGGTTTTGACCAGTTCTGGAGAACCGGTAGTGGAAATTTTGAATAGTTCGGAAAAGCGTCAAATACCACCTCTTACCATTTTACCTTCCCCTGCCACGCCCACCAAGCCATGCCCACAGAACCGGTATTAAAAACTTTTGAATCCCACCACTGGGGGTGGGGCATGTTATCTACAATTATCTAAGTTGATACTACAGAATTAGGAGTCCTACTATACAATCAAACATTACAAATAGATTTGAAAAGTCACAGCAGCTTTAATACACCTGGACCAAAAATAAACTAAACCAATCTGTTAGCCTGGGAACAATTCCTAAGAAACATGTCATATGCAATTGGGTGGACAGTCACTAATTTTTCAAAAAAACGATTTTGGGATTAAATTCAAAAATGAAGAGACAATGTTACTGAAGAAGGCAATAGCAATAGCCATAGCATTTAAATTTATTTAGCACTTCACAGTATTTTCCAGGCCTCTCTTAAGCAGTTTACAGAGTCACCCTATTGCCCCCAAACAATCTGGGTCCTCATTTTACCAATCTCGGAAGGATGGAAGGCTGAGTCAACTTTGAGCCGGTGAGAATTGAACTGCCAATCTACTGGCTGTCGACAGTCAGCAGAATTAGCCTGCAATACTGCATTCCAACCACTATGCCATCAAGGTGTTTTGTTCTTACAAATTGTCCCATGGGGTTGTTTAACAAAGCCAGAATGCCAGTTTCAGGCCAAAAATAACTATAAAGCAGTAATTTTGGCAATCAAGCAAAAGCTATTGTGCCAGAAATCTTAACTTTTTTTCCTCTCCCCACCCAAAGCTGAATAAAAACTTCTCTTGCTTTAAGAAACAGACCCCAACGGGATATACATTCATGTGCAACTGCATATTTCGGTGGTTCTTACCTGGAAGCCTGCAAAAGGCACAGGTATCAGCTAGCCTGGAGCAGAGCAACCACTGTCACTGTCCCTCTTGACTTTATCATGGGATATTCTACCCCGATGTTCCATTCTGGAGGTTCTTTACAACGACCCTGATGCTCTGTTCCTCCTCCTGGGAGGAGACAGAGGACCAGGGCTAGTCCTAGCCCAGCCCACATGGCTGGACGTGGCCTGCAAAGCAGAGAAACAGGTTAAGGAAGAAAACTAAAGACTACACAGGTAGTCCTTGACTTACAACAGTTCAAATTT